TCAGATGTGTGACCTTATGCAAAGTACTTCATCTAAAATCTAAATTTCTTCATTTCTAACATGGTAATGTTATCTGCTCTTACCTACTTGAGATGGCTGGAGTAAAAATAAAATGAGAATATATGGGAAAACGCTTTGTAAATTATTATATGCTAAATAAAAAGAAGGTATTAAAGAGTATCATATTCCTCCTCTCTTGGACAAAGCTTTCCAATCAATATGCCAAGAATGGATTACAGGGACTTCCCTGGTGGGAAGGCAGGGGACACAGGTTCGAGCCCTGGTCCGGGAAAATCCCAATCTTAGTTGTTGCTCTGTGGCAACTAAGATCCCTTAGTTGCCGCACAGCAACTAAGCCCGTGCGCCACAACTACTGAGCCTGCGCTCTAGAGACCGTTAGCCACAACTACTGAGCTCATGTGCCACAACTACTGAAGCCTGCCCGCCTAGAGCCCATGCTCTACAACAAGAGAAGACACCGCAATGAGAAGCCCGCGCACTACAATGAAGCGTAGTCCCTATTCACTGAAACTAGAGAAAGTCCGTGCGCAGCAATGAAAGACCCAGCGCAGCCAAAAATAAATAAATTAAAAAAAAAAGAATGGATTACAGATGTGCTGAAATATCGACACCCCCTCTCCCTGGCCCCCTCGGCCTACAGGGAGCTGGGGAATCTGCCATACAAATAATCATTTTTATGTGTGCCACGATGCAGAAGTTTGGAAACTTTGCTCTAACATACTATCTCATGTCCGCAGACACTGGAGATGGCCAAATGACTCCCTCCTCTGGATAATTTAGGTCTCACCACCAACTCTGTTATTTTTATGATCCTGCTTCAAAGACAGTGATGTCACAGTTCTCCAAAGGATCAAAAAGGATCAAGCCCGAACATCAAGGAGCTGCTAGTCCAATGCCATCATACATACACAAAAAATGAAGCAAAATAAAAACTCTCAGGTGACTACGGCAAAGATGTTACCATATTTTCACAAAAGATTTGAGCAACTTCCAGCAATATCTGCCTAGAACCATCTTAAGACAAAAGTTTAGAAGTAATGGAAGAGAGGGAAATAGGGATGGAGGGAAGATGAAAGAGAAAAGACACAAAGAGAAAAAGAAAATGTAGACTTTTGTCTTGTAGAAAATAGCTGAGAATCCGTAAGAGCTAATCACTGGCTTCCATGACTGCCTAAAGCTAAACTAGAGACTAAAGAGAACAAGATTATTTTCAGGTTCCTTTGTTTTATAGTCTTTTTCATACTTCCTAGAACTAATGCTGGTGTATATCTGACTTTTAGACTGTTATGGTCCCTACGTCATCATCATCCATATTTTGTGGGACTACTGTTTCCAATCTGCACATATATTGTTAGTTTTTCATCCACAGCCATATTATCTTAAATTCCCTATTAAATTTACTCCTTCCTCCATCCTGAATTTATTCCTTACCCCATCCCAAAGTTATCATTCTGGAATGTATTTATACCTCCAGACTCTTACAATGCCAAGTCTATTACTTAAAACCTTTATTTTCACATTTTCCACTCCTCATATGTCATCATACATACATACAAATACACACACACACACACACCCGACAAACACATACACAGATTTATATCCGCCCTGTGGGAAAACTATCAAATAACACTCCATAGGCCTCCCCCGAATTCATTTCTTTTCGTCATACTTTTTGGTATGATATTCAACCAGGTGTTCAGCTACTGAAGATTAATAAAGGAAAAGACCTTCTTTATGTAATGTCTGATAGAAAATCTGGTGAGATACCCCAACACATGCCAATAAAAGATGTAAAGAAAATATGGTAGAAGCAGCCTAGAGTAGTAGTTAAGAGCTCAGTCTGGATTCAGATAACCTAGGTTCAATCCTGGCCTGACCAGTGAATTCTGAGCACATTACTTCAGCTTCAGTTAATCATTTAGTTTCAATTTCTTCATCTACAAAAATGAAAAATTTAGCCACTTTATAAGGTTGCTGTGAGGACTGGATGACATAATCATATTAAGCACTTAGCATAATGCCTGGCACACAGTAAGCAAACAAATGTTAATTGTTATGGTGTCGGATATAATCAATCTTCTGACTTTGTCATTACCTTAGAAGGAAACTAATTTAGCATAATTGACTCTTTATAAACTTATGTTTTCTGCCCCCCAAAGCGAGGATGCTAGACAGAGGGAAAATTATTTTGTGCTCAGAATACACTGGTTACTCCATATAGACTATGATGAGCTGTATAGGTCTCTTCAAGTTCTAACGTTCTATGAAACAGGTGTCACACATTTTAGAACGTCAACCCTTGATCAACAAACACTTTACCATCAAATCCGTAAGTTCAAATATGCGCTCTACACTTACATTAAGTTTGGAAGGATACTAACTTAGCCACAAACGAGAACGATCATTAAATCCCTAATATAGAGGTAATATGGAGGGAAAGGAGATGTCGAGATGAACAGCAACACGCCAAAGGCTTACAGACCACACCACTGAAGCATCATTTGCCCTTCTGAACAAAGCCGAAGCCCAAAGTAGATGCCTCAAGTGAAAAACAAGAAAATGAAAACAAAGTACACTAGAAATTTAAACTTTTACTCTGAACTGTACCCAGTAGGTTGTTGATATTAAATATGTATTAAATAATAATAAATTTATCAATTTATAAACCCACTGGATCCCCACAACATTGGCCACAAATACTTATCCCTAAAGAGAAACCTCGAAACCACAAATCAGGAACTAAATAAAGAGGCGGTCTTACTTCCTTCTCTAGGTCTAGGAAGAAATTTAGAAACACTGAAGTTTTGAAGTAGCTAGAGATTTCATCACTATAAAGCTGGAATCTCTGCATTCTACTCTCCTTGGTACCCAAACTAGCTATGTACAGTTTGAAAAAGTAGTAGCTCCACAAAAAAAGTTTTCATTAACTTCAAGATACTGTCTAAGGTGTGGCTTTTAATCTACCTGGAGGTTATATATCTCCTTTGAGAATCTGATAAAAAGAATGGACATTCTCCCCAGAAAGGAGAAAATGCACTGAAAACAAAACTGTGCACTTAATTTCAGGGGTGGGGATGAGGAAGTCCCCTGAAAGTCACTGACCACTAGACCACAGTCCCCAAAGGCATGACCCAGGATTAAGGCAAACTAATTTATCAATTTGAAACAGAATGAAAATAACTGAGACCGAGATTTTAATCCAGAAAATAAAACAAGATTAGAAATATTTTGTTTTCTCAGCTAATGAGTGTTAGACGTGGTGGCTGGGAGAGGGTGTTGGTCATGTTGAGTGGGAAAAACAAAAAAACACAGGACTAACAAAAGAAAAGTGGAATTAAAACAGTACTGACATGTAGTCTGTTGCATTCACTCTGAGACAGCAGCAATAAAATGGCCAATTCCTGCAGCCTTAACAAGGAACGATTTAAGGTAACCAATTTTGGTGCACATTTCCACGCCAGTGAAGTTAATTAAATGGCAAATGTGAACACACACCTGCCACACTTGCACGTGAAAGTACAAGTTTAACCAAAGTCCTGCAAATCTTCCATTTTTTCCTTAAGAACTGACTGAGAGAAATTATATGCTTTAATCTAGGAGAAAAAAGGAAGGGAGGGGGCCAGAAATCCTCAAACGTGATGGCTAAAGGATCTGCAGGAAGTGTTAACTACAAACCTTTTGAGATCAAAGGGCTCAAGAGGGAGATGAGAATAAAACAAAGGGAGTAATAATAAAATAAAGTAAAAGGGAAAAGGGTCTAGAAACTGTTCTTAAAACAAAAACCTCTTTCCTTTTTCCTAGACACGTAAACAGCAGTAACTTGGCAAAGAGGAACGGACGAGACGACGGCACAACTTCCTTCCCAAACTCCAGCATTCCTTGGACGTCCTCGCAAGCAGTCAGGCTTGGGACATTTCACAGGCAAGGCTCCTCCCTGCACCACTGCCCGAGGAACCTCTCGCAGGGACTATCGCTACCTCCCTTCCTCTCACTGCGGGAGAGGAGAAATAGGGGATGCAGGGAAAGAAGGAGAGCAATGAAGGCTGGACACCAAACCTTAAGGTGGCCCGCTCCGAGACTTAGTCGAGAAAGACCTGGATCCTTCAACCCCTTTCTCCGCTCAATACATGCAAAACCGGGAGGGTGCCGCCCTGGGAGGGCCAGTCCTACCTCTTCACCCGGCTGTTTCGGGGGCACACTCAGGGGGGACAGGAGGAACGAAGGGACAGAAACCCAAGGCCGAATGCCTGGACAGAGAGAGATGGCACACACAGACTAAGGACATAAGTGCCCTGTGGAAGTCCGGAACTGCGAGCCCCAGAGGCAACGTGTCCAGCCCCGCCAACCATCTCCGAGAAGCATTCCCCCGCCTCTTTCCCAGCCGGCCAGCTCCGCCCTCACCTGTCTGCAGGGAAGCCGGCAGCTCGCACGTCGAGGATTATCCCTGCCTCTGCTCTCCGGAGTCGCCTCAGCCCTGGCAAGAAGTGAGCGGAAACGCGACCCGGGCCTTTTCCTTCTTCCCCTTCTCCCACGCACCTAGGCTCCTCGGGGGCGGGGAGCGACAGCAGCTGTCACAGCCTCCCACTGACCAACCGCCGAGGACACTCAGACCGGCGGCAGCTCCACCAGGCCTACAGCTCCAACACCGAGAGCAGCGGAGCCGGAAGTGAGGGGACCGGAAGTAGCGTTGTCCGTAGCCCTGGATGGCCTCTCTCTCCCTCAGTCTGGCCGGCCCAGCCACGTCTCGATGGTGCCAGCGCGCTTCCCCCGAGGCCCCCTCCGCCCCGCTCCGGGAGTGCTGTGGAGATGACCCAAGGTCATACATGGGAACGAGTCAAATATAGGGGAGGCATTCAGTGATGTTCATTTCCTTTCTTTCCCCGAGGCCCCCTCCGCCCCGCTCCAGGAGGCGGGCCCCGCCCCTCCCGCTGCGGCCCCTAGCAACCACATCCGGGACTCAGCCGGCGCCTTTTCCCGGGTAATTTTCTGGCTGCGGCTAGATCGCTGGGGGGGTTGTGAACGCGGGTCCAGATGCACCTGCCAGAGCTGGGAGCTTGCCGAAGGGCGCACCGGCCTGGTCTTGAGTGGTCGGAGGTCCAGGAGCACTCGGCATCCTTTTCCCACCCACACACCCCAGCCTCACGTATTAGGCGTCCCCCCAGCAGACGGTGAGCCGGTGGCGGGAGGGTGGAGGTGTACGTAGCTCACCGCCTCGCAATCACAGGAGAGCCAAGCTTCTTTCTCAGCTGCCAGAGAGCACGTAGAAGGTTATTTCAGCCCCGTGGGAGGTGGGAGGGTGGAGGGAATGCGGGGTTTAGGGAGCAGACGGGATGCGGGCACCTCATTCTCTTTCCCCAGTGCCTGGAAAGCCACTCTCTGGCCACGTCACTCACGCCCACCCATTTCAGGAAGACCAGACCCCCTCGCCCGGCATCCCTGAGTTCTTATGATTTGCTCTATCTTTGTGATCACCTGCTCTGCTCGCTCGCAGACAGTGGGTCCGTTATACCGTTCTTTCCTGTCACTGTTTATCCAGAGGACTGATTTCTGCTTTCTTTGTTCGCCCCGTTACTTAAGTAGATCACTGCCCTGTCTACAGAAACCGAAGAACAGTCCTTCTCTCAGATCCCTTTGTAGTTTCCTAAGTGGAGGCCCCAATCTGTACTTCGGATATGCTCCCTGTCCCCAGCACCGTATGACTCTGCAGTGGTGCTAGACAAACCTGTAGCTCAGTTACATACAGTACATACCGGTGATCCAGCCGAGCGCATCTCCCTTCAAGGTTCCGGACTCCGCTTTTACTTTGACAGCCTTGGGTGCTCATTTTCACCACCATTTCACTTGCAGGAATG